CATGTAACATAATTTGGTCAGTCAGTATATTCCAGACTGCCCTTGCAGACTCTATCATCACTTCCAAATCAGTAAAATGCTTTTGGCAAAACAAAGATGCTCATTAAGACATTGACCAAAGGTTAATTTAATGCAGATTACCAGGCTACACAGGTGCAAAACACTGATTTTATATTGTATCCTACTAAATTCTCGAGAGCAGAGGTTTTTAAAACCTGTTATATAAAGGTTTATAGCCTCTCACTGATCACTCAGTGCAAACATTATAAATTCTTGATATGGCGCTGATTTATTCATTTTAAAAGTGGTTCTAGTCATCTGTCTTTCAATGAAATCTAACAGAATTCAAAATTTCCATTTGTATTTTGCACAAAAACCCCTATACAGTATCATGTACAACAGGTTCAGTGCATCAGTAGTAATAAAGAGGTGGGTGTTTTATAGAGCAAAGACCAAAAGAGCACAGGAATCACAATCACACCTAGTATATTAGTAAAACAGATCGGTATATTGCCAGCCTGCGGTGGGTCTGTTTGTGCACGAGGCAGTCAGAGATAATGGCGTGACTGGAAAAAAACAGGAGTCCAAACCACAAACTGTTATTCCAGCTGTAACAGTCCCGGCAGCCTGGGAAAGCAGCGCCGAGGATTGTTTAAGCGATTGTTTATGAGAAGTCTGCAAAAATGCAAAACACAATGTGGCGTACGACACTAAAGATTGTTTTGATTGATGTTTCCATTACACAGTTGTGTGTTCCTTATCCTCATTTTGCAGCAGGACATTCAGCTTCTGTCTTTTTAAGTATTACCTTTAACAGAGACAGGTTTAGGTACGGCTTGCATATTTGTAATTTGCATGTGGATTTAAACGCGTGAAGGCTACATAATCTTCTGCAAACAGCCCATGGCTCTTTTAGTGCCACCGAGGGCACGAAAACAGGAAGACAGGGAGGTAATAATGCAACGACGGCTGTCAATTTCATTGACATAAACAAGCAACACCTTGACAGCAGCGCCAAGACCCTCTATGTTGGGCCCTGGAGGAGAGGCAAAAGAACATCTTTATATCACCCGCGCACACACATCTGTACACATCTGCACACACACATCTGACATACTGTGAGAAGAGCTTGACAGTGAACTGCATGAGCAGCTGAGACTACTGAGCAAGGTTAAAGGTCTGTGGCGGCTGACGTCACAAGAGGAAAAAGGGTGTGACTTTTCCCCCTGCCTCCATTCAATACTTCCTCTGGATGATGCTAGTTTCAACATTTGGTTTGTGAGCAAAAACCCATCCAGAGCATAATACAATATATTTTAGTCATTCATGCATATTTTTGGGCTGGTCATTCCTAAAGAAGGAGATGAACACGGTCACGCAGCCAAATGAGTCTAATCTAAATTGAATATTAAAGAGCTGCTCACTAAATAAGTAAAGACATTGATTTTATGGGGACAATAAATTGCAAAGACAAGTGATGAGTTTGTTCGGAGCAAAAACGTGATCTAATGCTGAAGTTTTGCAAAACACATATCTTAGTGTATAGCTTCAGTTTAAAGAGGGGATGTTTCAACATTATAATAATATTGGAGATTGTAGATAGGTTTGTTGTTGTATCATACTCTTTTCATGCATATCAGTAATAACAGACAAAACTTCAGACATTAATTTCAAAATAGTGCATGTCTAAATTGCATCAACATCTCTGATTTTATGAAAACTCGTAAAAAAAAAAATATTGAATCTATTGTAGAAAAAATACTATTCTACATAAGCATCCTTAAGTGTTCTTATGAAAGAAAGGAGCTGGAAATTGTCAGTCTGTACGCTGAGTGTGGGTGGGGCATGTCAAAGTAATTACAAGTGGATAGTCCAGGGCTTATGCATAATTATAAGGCAGTGCACTCTGTGGACCTCAGCAGCTGAATAATGGATTAGACGTATAATTGCATTTGTACATTAAAATCCTTAACAGGAAAATACAAGGCAAATAGAACTGATTAGCTTCCCAGATACAGAAGCAAAGAAAAGGGACTGAAGGTGTGAGTGCGTCAGTAATGAACCTTTAATTTGTTTATTGTCAATATATTGTTTATTAAGGCAATCTGAACACAGAAACATAGTTGTTGGCAAATTTGTGAATTAATCTTGGAGGCAAGGGGTGCAGCTTCGGGGATGAAGAGAAAAAAGTGAACAATTCTGTGCTTAGTAGATTACAAAAAGAAAAGAAGAAGAAGAAGAAGAATTAGAATACAGGAAAATACTTCACATTTCATCATAATAAACAAGCATATGGTATTATATAGTTTACTTAATTACATAATATTAACTTTATCTGTTAGTCTAACCCATTAAGACTTACAGCATTGGCATTGGAACACTGTAAAGTAATCCGAAATATTGTGTAACTACCAAAAAATCAGGCGGCTGCTGTAGCTCACCTGGTTGAGCTGGTGACCCATGTACAGAGGCTATAGGCTACGATGCAGTGGTCATGGGTTTGAATCCCGCTAATGGCCCTTTGCTGCAACCCATTCCCCCATTCTACTCCCCCACTTCCCTGTCTCTCTCTCAGCTGTCCTATCTAATACAGGCAAAAAGGCCAAAAAAATAACTTAAAACAAAAAAAAACATAAAATCAGTTAAATTTATCCCACACTCACAATGTAAACAATTCAGTTGAATTTTATTTATATCGCATCAATTCACAGCATGTGTCATCTTAAAGCACTTAACACAGCAAGGTAAAGACCTTAGGATTTTCAAACAGAGAACCCAACAAGGGTTCCCTATGAGCAAGCAGCTCATAAGTGCAGTATGTAGTGTGCTCGCTTGATGGGTGTAAATCTGGAGGCTTTTGTTGAAGTAAACAGTATTTGTATTTTCAAAAAGTAAAAAAAAGAGTAAGAAGTTTTCACATCTCCCCCACTCCACAAACTTCATTAAAGTTGTGATTTTTACACATGATGTGTTCAAATACAAACATAAAGCAGTCAGACATTCTCACATGTATGGGACTCTTTGTTCACAGTGCAAACACCGGAGGCAGATATCAAACATAAACCTAATTCTGGTATCAGTTCCTTTTATGTGTTTATGTTGGACTATATACATATATACAGGATTACAGTAGAAAAAGCAATGCAACAGACACTGTATAACATAAAAAGCACAGCATAGGGAGTCTAGCTAAAGCTGAAATTTGCAACTCAAGGTTTAAGTTAAGGTTAAAACAACAAAACCATTAACAAGTAAATAAAACTGATTCTAGAAAAAGAGCATAACAGATCAAATGGACTGTATGTATACCACGCATTGTGTATTGACTTTGCATCCACACCACAGACACATGGTGTGAAATTGCGTGTACAGTGTTAATTAGTAGACGTAAATGTGTGCGACAAGGGAATTCATTCACACATTTGTTGTTGTGTAAGTCACTGCTTCACTTGTGTAGTGAATACTTCTAATGGTGTTTTTAAGTGAGATGATAGGCATTCTGTGACTGACAGCTTTTCACTCAAAGATGACTGAAAAATTGTTCTGTGCCTTAAAGCTGAAAAACAGTTTACAACAGTTACTACTTGTTGCACCTGGCTGTGACTTCTTTATGTTAATACTTTTTTGATCAGTCAGTCAGACTTTATTTGTACAGCAGTTTAAAATAAAATGAAACAAAAAGTGATTTAAAAGACAAAAAGAAAAAAATAGATAAAATATGTAAAGACATAAGATGTACAGCTGACATATATCTCAGGCAAGACATCCCATCCATCCGATACACCGCTTAATCCTCTCTAGGGTCGTGGGGGGCTGGAGTCTATCCCAGCTGACTCAGGGTGAAGGCAGGGGACACCCTGGACAGGTCACCAGTCTATCACAGGGCTACACTTAGAGACAGACAACCAAGCACACTCACATTCACACCTACGGACAATTTAGAATCACCAATTAACCTCAATGTGTTTTTGGACTGTGGGAAGTAAGCCGGAGAACCCGGACAGAACTCCACGCAGAAAGATCCCAGACGTCCTCACCGGGACGCAAACTGGTGACCTTCTTGCTGCGAGGCAACAGTGCTAACCACTGAGTCACCTTGTAGCCCCTCAGGCAAGACTTTTGTTTTTTTTTAAATGTTGTTTCTTTTTTCAAAATGAACACTATATGAAATTGTGAAATCTTAGCAAATTATGTTTTAAATCACAGCCAAAAACTAAAATAAAATAAAGGGAATTTGATAATTCTCTGCCAGAATACATTACTGGCATAGAACTTGCTCAGTTTAGAAATATATGAAACCGCTACAATACAGAATAGTTGTACAATAGCGTTGGGTTGGTACTGTGGCTTTAAGAGTTATTTCAAATTATGAATCAATGGCATGATGAGAAATAACTTTTTAGTTCCTGAGATATTGTCATCTAAACACAACCACAATTTTCATTTAAAAAAAAAAAAATAAAATAAAACATCCTGAAAGTGAGTTGAGGAGCAATTTGATTTATTTTTGTTTGTTTTAAAATTGCACACATACCTTACCTTTCTAAATAACAATTTCTCATGTGAAAAAAAAAATCACAGATGGAGCAGAAGGCCCCTGATGATTTGAGATGGAATGACCCACAAGGATTTCAGTTATGCTGCTGTATTTTTATTGTAAGGTTTTTAAGAGATTGAAATGTTGACACAAGTTTCTCTTTTTCTTTTTATATCAAAATATATGGTGTCCCATTTTGCAAGTAGGATATATAAAAACCTGATCTCAGGACATTCTGTGTTTGAGATGGACTCATTCTTCATTCCGTCTTCTGTACATTGTAGTTACAGATGTTTTTTTTCCTTACAAACCATCCAGTTTAACCCATCCTAACTTTCTGTGTGACTCCACTAAACCGAGCACACAGGCGCCCCCGTGCTCCTGTGTTGGTGTTTGCAGCGCGCAGGCGTGCGGGCGGACGTGCATGCACGCGAGCAACAGATCCGAGCGCATGCGCAATTCATTGTTTTGACTGAAAATGCCGTCGGTTTCGAAAACGGCGGCCAATGCGTCTCCTCAAACCGAGAAACCTACCCACTATACGTGAGTAAAGCCACTGCGAAGAAACGGCGATTTCGTCCGCTGCCGAAAGCGCCGTTTGCATTCGCACCTTTCGCGCGTTTGCATTTGTGGCATTCCTCAACTGTTGTGTGTGCGTTAAAAACATGGTGCTTTTCCTGGCTTTGTGACTACCTAACGTTACATAGCAAACAGCGACAGGCACGCTAACGACAGCAGCGCTAATGCAGGAAACACGCACGTCTTAAATCACTTAATTGGCGAATGAACCGCTACCGGGCTCGTTTACATTTGTTTCACATAGTTAGCGGACGGTTTTGAATTATATTTTGAATATTACACCGTCAACTTGGTCTGCTAAATGATTAGCCAGGAACTCGCTAACCAGTCTGCTTGTAAATAGCTCGGCCTTATTTTGAGTTCCCTCTTGCTACGCACATTTATAGACGTACGCTCAGGAGCTGTGAAGCGGCGCTACGGCGGAAAACCAGCGTAGTATGCTCTGAGAATAGCGAGCTAACGTTGGTGACCCAAAATATACCGTAGGCTGCAGCAGGAGTAGCGTAACACGACACCTCGGGAAACTTTTTCTTTTGATTTCAACTCACTTGTTAATGCGTTTAAACCCCGTTTCGTGACACTGCCTTGTTGTTTGTTCCTCGGTGTTTCAGATACTTGAAGGAGTTCAGGACAGAGCAGTGCCCGTTGTTCCTCCAGCACAAGTGTACGCAGCACAGACCCTTTACGTGCTTTCATTGGCATTTTCTCAACCAGCGACGAAGAAGACCCATAAGGAGGAGAGACGGAACTTTTAACTACAGCCCCGACGTGTACTGCACGAAATACGACGAGACCACAGGCATCTGCCCGGATGGAGATGAGTAAGTCTGTGCCTCCAGGCATGTCAGTGTTTTGATCATGCAGCTGCTGACAGATGACAGATGTTCTGGTGTTTGGGATCTTTGTAGCTCAGTGGAACAAATATTGAATGAAAGACTTTCAGTCAGTGGTAGTTTCTTCCCTCAGCTGCCTTTAAATTACTTTGGATTGTCCTTTAACTTTATTGGACATAATTGCACATATATGAGTCAGTGTTTTATTTTATGTTTTTAAAGCTGCACTCCATTACTTTGTAGAGCAACTTTTACAATGACTGAAGCAAACTTTGTAAAACTGCAGCGCTTTTTCATTTCATGTGTACAATCCAGGGAGGTATTTCACAATAACTTGTAGCTGTGATTTATCATGAAAACTTTTCTCTTGATTTCCCCAGCTTTGTGTGGTCACAAAAACACTAGTGTGTAGGACAAACTACTTGTCTGCTTAAGGGCATCAGTATAGCTATAAATCGACAATTTCAAGCCACATGTTTTATATAAGGCCACCATGAAAGGAATGTTGTTGTGCTCTAATGATAAATGGGGAAAAAATTATCTATTTTCAATACAGATTAGGAGTGCATAGTGTGATTCCTTTACACTGGATAATGTGCTTGATTGGTCATTGCTTCATGAGCAGTATGTGTTATTTTGCTACCTTATCTTACAACAATTTCCCTGAGGTTTGCACTAAAGGGATCAATCAAGTTCTATTCTATTCTGTTCTATTCTGTTCTAAAGTGTAATAATATCACAGGTATTGGCAGCACAGAATTGCAAGAACCACTTCTCACATTGGCTCTTAGTTGCATGCATTTTTGGAACAGATATAACATTTTATGCCTGAATTCTTCCTTTGTGTTGCATCTCTTTGTCTTTGAGATGCATTGCTCTGCTCTCTAAGTATTATATTTCATGTTGCTTTTATTATTTTCAGCAATGGCTAAATAATTTGATACACAGATGTTTCTGTTTCAGGTTTCATATTTTCAACTGTTTGATTCTCATAGTGTCCTGCATTGGATATTTTGTTCTGGGTTATCACAGTGGAAAAACAATTTATACACATTTTGTTGAAGACCTGTGGGTCTAGAAGATATTAACTTTAAGTATTGCCTGAACTGTCTGGAGGAACAGTAACTACATATGAGAATTCTCAAAAGGGGTGGCAATGGCATTTCCATTTAGTTTTCAGCAGGTAGCATATAAAGACAGCAGGTATCTGTGTGATAGGGAATTAAAAATGGTGGACCAGTGAATTGAGAGCCAGATAGAATAGTATAAAAAGAACTAAAAATTATTAAACTAATGGAAAATGAAGAACTGCAATCCTCACAATTCCTCCTCTGCTAATGGAAGCTATTTTTGTATGACCTTATGTGTTGCTATAGCAACTGTTGCTACTCAAGAAAGGAAAATTGGGTTTATTCAAGAGGCTTATTGGCCGTACATTTCTTGAGGCGCTGTTGGTGTGTCAGCTCTGCATTCACAGCAAAATCTTATTCCTGAATCCAATTTGTAAAAAAAAAGAAAGAAATGTGTGCAACTTTAAAAAAAAATCCTCCTCGTATTAAAATGTATGCACCTTGTAGACTTATAATTGATTGTTTGGGCCATATTTTAAATGTCAGTGCAGTGCTTACCTCTTTCATACATAGATAATCATTTTGGGTCAAACTGCTGCCTTAACTTGCACTCTGCAGGAGTGTTTTACACTCATAGAACGATGATGCAATTTGAAAACATACTGTTTGTGCTATATATATATATATGTACACGCATATATATTGGACAGATTTGTGCTTTGGATATTTTCAGTTACTTGACTGAAATTCCAAGTCATTTACATTAAAAGGTTGTATTTGAATCAACTGATGACATATTTTAATGTTGTATCCTTGTTTACTTAGCTGTCCATATTTACACCGGACCACTGGTGACACAGAGCGCAAGTACCATCTACGATATTACAAGACTGGCACTTGTATCCATGAGACAGACGCTCGAGGGCATTGTGTGAAGAATGGCCTCCACTGTGCTTTTGCTCATGGGCCACATGATCTCCGACCTCCAGTCTATGATATCAGGTGACATGCAAAGCAAATAGTGGCCTCTCTTATCCCTGCTTTTCTCTCAAAGCTTCACAATGCACCAAACAGATCAGCCAATTTAGACACACATTAAACCCCTATGATACAGAGTAGCTGTATTATGTGGGTTTGAACTGACTGTTTGGTTTGTGCTGTGGTTCTAGGGTTTAGCTCAGTGCATTTCTGAAAAGTAATGAACACTTAATACCAGCTCAACATGTTTTATTGACTTTAAAGAGTGAGCGAGGTTAGTTGATACCAGCTGACAAAATGGGTTGCTTGTGTTAAAGTGTTGGCTTAAAGAATCGATGTGTACTTATTGCATTATTGTTTTAGTATTTCAAGATGTATGTATGCATTTTCTGTTACACTAATTTGTAACTGTAATGTCCTATATTTCAAACAGTCCACTATAAGCAGTGTTTTGAGATTATAATTGTTTGACAAAAACAGAGACATTTCCTTTCACACTGTATTCGTCTGTTTCCAAGTGTCTTAAGTTCAAAGGTTTATCTTTTTTGCTTTTTGAAGAACAAGAAATACAAATGAATAATCACATTTTTATACACAGAGAAATCCAAGCACAAGAGGCCCTTCAAAATGGACAGTTGGGATCTGGGGAAGGTATTCCTGATTTGCAGCCTGGTGTACTAGCCAGTCAAGCTATGATTGAGAAAACTCTGACAGAAGACCCCCGGTGGCAAGGTGAGCAACCCCTACTTAAATAATGGTAGTTGCATTCAGTGCTTAATTCATTCAGTTATTAAGGAACAAACTTCAAATTTTTCTGCACAATGATGAAAAAAAAAGAAGCTAATATTAAAACATTATGTCTCTTTTGGCAGATACCAACTTTGTTTTAGCCAATTATAAAACAGATCAGTGTACTAAGCCCCCAAGACTATGCAGACAGGGCTACGCTTGCCCCCACTACCACAACAGTAGAGATCGAAGGCGAAACCCACGAAAGTTCAAGTATAGGTGAGCTACGATTCAGTTTACGTTAAAACATTAAGCCGTGTAATTGCAAAATGTTAAAGGCTCTGACTCGATGCATGCAGGTCCACTCCTTGCCCAAATGTGAAACATGGTGATGAATGGGGCGAGCCTTCAAAGTGTGACGGTGGCGACAGTTGCCAGTATTGTCACTCTCGCACTGAACAGCAGTTTCACCCAGAGGTGAGTGACGTTTGTTGAGTCTAAGTCAAATTCATTCAACTCCTTGGACAAAGACAAATACGAAAGCCTTTGTGAAAAGTCAGGAAAGAAAGTCTAATAATAAACCTTCAAGTGATTTAAAAGCTAAACATAATGTTGAGCTTATTAATCATTTCCCCAGAAAGGGCCATGAAAAAAAATTATTCAACCTCATACAAACTCTGTATTTATTCTAGTTGTTCTTTGACCTTTATGCCCGTCAGTGAACATTTCTGGTTGTTCCAAGAAGGAGTTTTCATTCTGGAACATTTAGTTTCTGTGCTGCCAACCAATGATTTTCAGGGGGATTCAAAGACAGGAATTGAAATGGTCACTCAAGAACATTAAGGAAGAATTCCTCAAATAAACGGGTTGATTTTGGTTGATTTGAGGTTGTTGTGTTGCTGGAAAGTCCAATGATTAACAAGCTTCAATTTACACACTGAAGCATCACGTTCTTCTTCAAAATTCTTCCCCTGAGATCAATTTTACCCAGAAAGGTTGGCAATGTATAACGCTGTATCTTTTTTTAGTTTTTTTGTTTTGGAAGTGCTTTTTTCAAACCGTTGATATTTTAATGTCGGGAAATTAGTTCTTCACCTCTTGAGACAGCTATTTCATCTTAGTGAGGAACTTCAAAAGCCAAACTATTTAGTAAGGGCCGAATAATCATGACTGTATTTCAAAAATATCACACACAGTCACGGTCAATGTATGTCACTCAGTTTTCAAATGAACCCTCACATACTTGCAAGGATAAAGGTTTTTATTTTGATACTGTCGTGCATCTCACTGACTTGTTTTTTCTTTCCCCAAGATCTACAAATCTACCAAATGCAATGATATGCGACAAACTGGATACTGTCCCAGAGGACCGTTTTGTGCATTTGCACATGTAGAAAGTGAGTGGAAGATTGTCTTAATACTGTCGTTTATATAACACTGCAATAGACTACGAATACATTTTTCAGCCCTCTGAACTTCAAGCAGTTATTTTTTGCAATTTTTAAATGAGACTTGTCGCATAAAGTGATTTTGTTGAAATATCCAGATTTTAGTCTTAGGTTTGGTTGTTTTTCTGAACAAAACTGAAAGTTGAATGATTTGTTCAAGGACTGTTGAAAGAGAAAATTGTTTACACAGCTTCTTGTTGCGGAAATTTGGCGATTAAAAAAAACAAAAACAAAGTATATATGTCAAACCTGCTGGCGTTGTCAGAGAGTTTAAAACTTATTTTGAAATAAGTTGTTAAGCTAATCTTTGAATGTTATGAATGTTTACATTTTGGTTGTTTACATGCTGCATAAAGGTTTAATATTTGTTTGAATCCTTTCAGGAATTCCGTCAACAGAAGAGACCATGAGCTCGTTGCTAACAGCGATACAGTCGAGTTCACAGTCTCAGCTGGGCTCTCAGCAGTATTCAGAGTGTCCAGTCACTGAGTGGAACAGTGGAGGAAACTCCACCACCAGCGCAACCAGTAGCAACGGACAAGTAGGAAGTGTATGCTTTCTGTTTCTCAGTCCTTCCTTAGAAAATTTAGCAAAATGCCCTCAATCCAAATGTTTGATTTCAAGAGCTCCTCAAATTTGTGGATGTTTGCTGTTGTTGCTACTTAAATTGCATTCAGCTAATGGTGATCAGTTGTTAACTTGTTGACATGTTGTTTACCATGCTGTCACTCTTTTGTTTGTATATTTTCATACATTTATTTGCCATTATTACTGTTTTCCTTTACATTTTTACATTTCATTATTACATTGTTCTGAAAGAACAGTGACAAGTTTTCATTGAAAACAGTATTTCAGAGGATAATTCAGTAAAAACAGCTAGTCCTCATTTATTGTTACATGTTCAGTCTGAATTGATTCGAAAGTCATCACTTTCATAGTCTTTCCAGGATAATGGTTTTATGTGCTTTGTTATTTTTGGATCATCTTGTATTAAGATCATGTGCACTTCTCCTTCTCAGGTTTCATGTTCTAATAGCTCAACTGTAACGCCAAGCTCAGGAAGCGACAGTTTGTTATCCCCAGTGGGATCCATCAGCAGGCCCAAATCCTTAACTAACAGTAGTTTATGTTCAGAGTCCACCACATCCAGTGTCTCATCTCTGACGTCTAACTATCCTAAAGCTCCGGGCTTTGAACGTGAGGATCAGGTACACAGACTGCTCTGTTCAGCTTTAGGAAGAATGAAACACATAGACAGCTGAGGGCTTTACATTTAATGTGTCATTGGCATTTATTTTGAGTCACTGTTTATTTATCTCTCATTCATTATTTGCCATGTCATTTTAATTTTATCACTTTGAGCCATTTTGTCATGAATTTCACACTTTGCTGTCATAATATTGGTAAAATAGTGCAGATTTAGCATGTTTACTTCTGCACATAGAGTGGTTCTGAAACACAATCAAAATGATGATGATGATGTCGTGGTAGTAGCATTAAATAGTTTCTACTTGGGAGGTTTGACTTTTATCAAAAATGTCTAATTTTCTAAGCTGTTGTGGATATATTTATAATCAGTGTTGCATTTCCTCTATCTTATAATAAGAGTGACTTACAAATATTTTCACACTGATTACAAAGCCAGGAGTATTTGTTGCCCCACAGTAAAAATTCCACCAAAGTTGATTTTAACCGCTTTCTAGTGTTGTAATTACCGGAGAATGCCTCCTACTCAGAGTGAAATGTGACTGTCTCATTCATTCAGTACGTACCATAATCATTCCTAGAGCTACAAGAGGCAGTCGCACACTCAGTTTACACAGTTTTGACACTGATTGGATGCCATTCAGTAGGTAGTTAAGACATAAATCACCACAATAACAAGCACTACTAGAAATGAGCAGTATTTAATGCTGCTCCAGAGTCTGCCACATAACTCATACATTGCTCTGTCAGGGATAATGGTGAAGGCCATTAGGCCTTTATTTTCTCGGCTTGTGCCTAAGAGCTATATAAGAATGGCTTTTGATTAATATTACCTGTCTGTATGTAAAAGTTTTGCCACTGAAATTTGCTGTTTCTGTGTTATTTGATCATTCGTAGATCAAGAACAAGGGACAGGTGGATCAAAAATTGATGGACCAAGATAAACAGGTTTGTGTTACATTATAGTAACTTGATGATATTGTTTAATGTGTTTTATTTCATTAGAAACCTGCAATTATCAACATTGTTAATTGAATAGCTTTTTGTGCTCTCCTTTTAGACACAAAATACTGTATTCTCTGCGGTGAACCCTTTGGCATCAAGCTTTACCTCTAGTATAACATCAAGCTTGGCCTCTAGTATTGGCTCAGATAGTTCTTCACCCACCACCTTATCAACAATGAATGCAAAAGCCACTCCTTTCTATCCAGGGAGCAACACAGTGGAGTCTGTCATAGGTAAGTGCACGTAAAACCAACGGTAAACACGTTGAGCCCACTGCTACCTCTGTGTATTTTGTTGTCAAATGTAAGTCAGATTTACTTTATTTTCCATCAGGATCTGCACTGGACCTCAACTTTAGTGACATTAATGTTGCATCTCTTGATAAGGAGTTAGAGGAGCAAGATAACAGTGTAGGACTTGCAAGTAAGGACACCTAGTTTGTTGAAGCACTTTGACTTGTTTAACTAGTTTGGTCGTAAATGGTTTCATCATGATTTGTGTATTTTTTTTTAAGCAACACTTATCTACGTTTCCATCCTCAGGTCAAAGGGTGCTAGGTGGATCTGCTCCTGTTAACATTCCCGGCTCCCTGGCACGATCATCCTCTTTCAATTCCTCGTCATCCCTCTCCACCTCCCCGCTAAGCTCCCTCTCCCAGTCTCTGTCGCAGTCCCTGCTCTCCGGGACGGTATCGCAGCAAAATCAACCTTCAAACATGTTGGCAAAGCAGGAGCATGGCCTACTGGGAACACCCACCTCCTCTTCCCAGAACTCTCTGGGTGAGCTGATAGCATCAGATGTTTTGCTCCATTTACATTTGCATCACAGTGCATTTTGCTTTACCCAAGTATGAACCACTTCCTTCAACTTTGCTTAAATGTTTAAACAGGTTTATACATACATATCAGGTAAAATAGAACTTTCAGTGCCAGACATTGTGGAGAAAAAGTTACAATAATATGAGAACGAACCAAACGTTGTAAATATGAAATGTATAAGCTGAAAGCATCACTTGTTCATCTCAGAAGTATGGATAATAGAGGCCTGGTGTAACAAAGATGTTCTCAGTTTTAAATCATTGCTTCCACTGGTTTAAAAAACTTCACAAAATGTTCCATTTCCACACAGAACCACAGCTAACAATTTACTTTTGTGCTCGGTCTTCATTGTAACATGTCATCACCCAGGATTGAATGGAGGAGCTAGCAACATTTGGGACTTTGTAAGTGGCAGCTTTTCACCAAGTCCATCTCCAGTTTTCAGCAGCCTCACCTCTACAACCAGCAGTGCTGATCTAGCCCGCCTTTTTAGAGAACTGGATGAGGCCAAGAGAAAGATCAAGCAATGGGAGGAGGCCTGGCATCAGGTCAAACAAGTCAGTGTTTTAAGTCCACTCTTATTGTAATACGTGCTCCAGTGTATCACAATGGTTTCCCGCTTCATAGATCATTTTTCATCAAAACACACCTTTGTTCCAGGCCTGCGAAGCTTGCCAGAAAGACGCTCACGAAGCAAAGGAGCAAGCAAAGACGGCCGAGGCAGAGCGGCAGCTGGCAGAACAGAAGTGGGAAGAAACAGAGCGCAAGCTGAAAGAGCTCCAGGGGGACTTTGATGTGCTTTGTCGCACCCCTGGAACACCTCTTCTACGTAGCTATGGAGAGCTGGAGCAGCTCCCCTTGTCAAAGCTTCACTCCATCCAGAGTCAGCTGCGTAATGACCTAGACGTTATAGATGGGGTAAGAAAGCCTAGACCACACACAGCATTTCACTTGTAGCACCTGCATAGTTTTAAAACGGTTTGTCAGACTATCATTCAGATTCATGTTTGTCTTCAAGCATGCTTATTTGAAAAGTCTGCATGAACTGTATTTTCCTAAGTTGCAGCTGATACCCATTCTTTTCTTCCCCCAACAGGTAATATATCAGCTTCAGTCAAAGAAATGTATAGTTTGCCAAAAGCATGATCGTTGCATTGTTCTGCAGCCTTGCCAACATTATGTACTATGTGAGAACTGTGCACCTAGTAAAACAGAATGTCCCTACTGTAGAGCAAAAATATTGAAGTGGTGATGTACAATTACTCAAGGTACTATTTAAAGATTAGCCCTTTGAAAAACTACTAATAGATATTACATTTTCTAAACAGCAATGTCTGTTTCGCACAGTGATCTAATTACTTTAGGATGAAATGATGTTTGACTGACAAAACAGATCGTATTATGAATCACATTGCATCCAGGGGATTCAATCATTCTAGCTTTTGCTCATTTTATGTCCACGTTACGTCGGTCAACCAGATTGCTTTTCGTTTGAAAAGCCATGCACTTGGATTAGAATATTAAATTAACTTATAGTTCTCAAATCTTCAGTCATGATACATCAAGTTTAGATTTTTTACATTTTGGCCAAACACTCATGCTTTTCCCCAAACGATAGACATGTTGCTGTTACTGTATATACAAGGACTGAGTATGAGTGTATATTTATGCCCTTGTGTTTTGCTCTTTATTGACTAGAAAATACTCCACTGCTCTTCTGCATTAGTGGGGATGAAGCTCTGATCTCCTGAGGCAGCATCTTTATGCATTTCGGGTTGCCCCAGAGTAAATTTGAAAGCATTTCAACCCCTAACTTTCCAGAAAAGACTGTAGAAATGTGTATAAAGTTAATAATAAGTTTAGGTTAGAATCTGAAATCTGTAACACATAATAAAAAGAAAAAACACTTTCACTCTAACTGTAATATTATGTTGTAAATTGAAAGTAGAGTTTTTAAAAAGACCCTCCGATGTTTGTAACATACTGCTTTGAGATCATTTTTGCTGTTGCTCTGATCAGAACATTTATTAATACAGTAGCAAAGAGTGCTTAATGCTTGTAGCTTACTGATTTTTATCGCAGAATGTAGACATTTCTGCTTTTGTGGATTAAAGCAGTCCCACGTAATAACACAAAGACAAAGCCACTGTTATGATCACATTTTGCCACCGCTGCTGGAGCTATAGGCATTTCAGGTTGGGATCTCACTGGGAAGTCACTGTAAATATTGAAAACAAAGTCACGAGTTCACACAAACGAATCTGGCGATGTTCAACATAAAATGGGCAAAACTCAAAGCAGATTTTTTTTTTTCTTTAATTAAAGAGGAATACATGTAAATCAAGAGAATTTCTCCAATCTGGAGTGTTTGGGAGCAAATAAAAAAAAAACCAGACGTCCAAACACCTGAAAGTGACTGATACTGAATTCAGAAGTCGTGTGTTTTGTTTTAGCCTAATTAGTGCGGAGCTGAAGGGGGGGAATGTGAGCGCTGACACCATTTCACAGAGAGTGGCGCCTCTAAAACTGACAAGAGGTTGGTTATCAACTTCATTGTACCGGAAAGCACCACAGCATTGAGAAGCTGTGCGCTCTCCTACCCGAGTACACTTTTATTATTGAGCACCAAATGAAAAAGTTTAGCTAAAGTAAAAAAGTAGAAACTCAACACATTTGTTAAGTGCATCGGTGCCGTCTTTAAATCAGCAGCAGTAAATCGGACTAAACACGGACACATCAGAACAGTGTTCCTCTTTAAATAAAGCCGCGTTTTGTTAAACCCCCAAATCGATTTTCATGAACAATTTTTAAACTCAACCAGTCAAGCATCATTATTTTGACCAATTTTTCTGAAGAAGTTTGATTTCTTATTAAAAGCACTTTGTTGACCTGGGACTTTATTAAAGGGTATATAGAAAATTTGCTTTAAGCTGCTTTGTAGGTATTCTTTAGTGTCTTTTTTAGATTTATACATTTCTTTTCTACATAAGCTAATGTCTGAAGCTTTTGTGTGTACTGTGAAACATCATTTGAATATTTCATGTTTCCTATTGTTAAATCATGGCATGGTTCTACATATTAAGATTTCATAGAAAAGCACCTAATAGTTTCTACTTTCATAGTTAGATTTATAAAATTTCAATCAAATAAGTGCAAATTTAAACGGCATTTTAGGCATAACCAGCAGCTGTAATATCAGTAAGGCACATGCTACATGTTAAGGCTGTTATTCAATCAGTTAGTTTTGTTTTGTAGAAGTTTATATAGCCTATCCATTAGAGAAGCATGTATTGTATTTGCTATAAGCCTGAAATGGTGATTTTTTGTAGGAATCTAGCCTCTTGACCTTGTCTAGAACATATCGGCCTCTAACTCTAAAGTGCCTTGCCTTAGTTGAGAAGGTTATGTGTAGAATCGTCAGAGCAAACACAAGTAGTTGAAGCTTGTGCACAGGTTTCTGCGGAATTTGTATTTAACTTTGCAGAAGCATTGACATGTGTATGACTATATGTGTATATATGAGTATATGCCAGCGTATTTGGCCAAATCCCATTAAGTATTTCCTCAGCAGATAATTGAAGACGAACATTGTCAGTGCCTGTGTCCTGACTTCACCCTTAGAAACGAGCCTCCCCTCCGACTCCCCGCCCACCCACTCATTCCTTTGGTTGTGGTGCTCTTTTGGTGCAGCTTCAGTCTTTGAAATTAGGTTTTTCAATTTAACGTTTGGGAGTATGCAAACATAGGACACACAAATTTGTATTGCAACGTACAAAAAAAACCGCTATGTAAGCAGTTCAGTAACTTCAGTTTGTTTTTATTGTAATAATTCTGCAGTGAATGAAGAATTCCATCGTTAACTTGTAGGTTGGATTTGTGCTTAGGTTCCTCTAATTGAAATGACCTTCTACTGTGTTAAAAAAAAACAACAAAAAAAAAATCTTTTTATTCTTGCTTTAAATTCAGTAGAAAATCATTTATCTCCAGGTACACTTTTTGCTACTTATAAATATGGGAAAATGCATTGTTTACATTCTCACAAATGACAATTAAGCAACTCAGAGGAAAAATATCAAGAAAAGGTTATGGTATTTTAGCATTTTCATGGTTATATTACAGCATAAAAGGCAGGCTAAACACTTCTGGTATTGCATGTTATGCGATATATTAACCAGCTTAAAAAAAAAAAAACGGGAAAAAAAAAAAACATGTTCGCACTGTGTCACACTGCCAGAATATTTGTATTGACTTATTTTAGTGTAGTTAAGGCTTAATAACTTCTGCAAGCTTCGCTGCTACTGGAAAAGGTATTAATGTAGTTTGTTGTTATACATTTAGATGTTTGAATGTTGTTGTGCATCCACAGCTCAGATTTCAGAAACTATGAAATAATCTGTCTTCTGCATCTAACTTGACTTAATCTTTTTTTTTTGATTGAATTATTCATTTGTAAATCAATTTGAGTCAAAGTTTCAGTACTTTTGTAAATCATTTGGAATGATGTCATGGGCCTGTACTACTGTAGATTGTCCCTTTTTTTGAATTAATTGAAGGTAAATGTATTTTTGTTGACTTTCTTTCCCCCATACACTGGATAGCAGTGTACGGTGCAGCTAATTCACAGGGTCCTTTGGTCTTTTTTTTTTTTGTTTGTTTTTTGCCTGTGAAACCAACTAAATTAATGATGTCTAGTGTAAAAAATCTTAAAACGAACCAAAGTGGTGTTCTAGTAGCTGTCCAAATATGTATTGTAAAGGGAAAATTTACCCTTGAACAGAATTCAAGTAATGGCTTGAACAAGTATTGGGACAGATCAGCCTGCAGCGGTCTTGCCCGAAGCTATAAATGACAGGTCAGAGCACCAAGACGACATGAAACTGAGACAGAGTCCAGCATTATGAGTGGCAGGAATTCTGTTTTTGGATGGATTTTTGCTTTAATATTTCATTCAGTAGGACATTAATCCTCTAACTGAGTCAACAACAGGACTATGCCAATGGCTTTTGCTTACAACAGTAATGGACTTAGGCCCATTTTTTGCAGTTTTACCAAAGACCTGTATTGTTGTTATTTCTTTTCTACTACATTTCATCATTTGTTTTACTTCAGTAAAAAAAAAAAAAGAAAAAAAAAGCAAGAAAGAAAAAAAAAAAAGCATAAATTGATTTTAAAAAAAAGTAAATCACCTAGTACCTTAAATAGATAATGTTCATTAACAGTAATTAATGGCATCTTTTTCTATCTAAAGTTAGTTATCGTGAGTTGATACGCAGATGATCAAAAATGCATGGGTCAGATTCTTACAAATTGTGTATTTGTACATTTGATTTTGTGTTAAGTATACATTGGCGTTTATGGCAGATTGTGCAATACTGGCTCGCACATGCTGACCTTAAGCGAGGATTCAGTGTCAGTTTAATTGTTGTCTACAGTGAAGGAATGTCAAAGCTGAATGACATTTATGCTTCTGAAGTGGCCATATAAACTTCACTACAGTACTGTTTTGAAGTCGATTTTGTTTGTTGATTTTTTGCTTAACTACATAATCTGAATCAGTTTGGAAATCGATAGGTTTGCATTCGATACTGTTCTGATAGGCCTACAGTGACTGTAAGGTGCTTTCTTTTTATCTGACTCTGTTTTTCTATTTCTTAAAGCCGTGGTCCAAATTAGTTTTTGTTATTACAGGGACAGATGATGATTGTGAAGCATCAATGGCAGATACAGACGTAACTACAACTGAGCTGTTAGGGCAGTTTGCTGTTGCCCTTTCTAGAGGTCTACTTTTCCCAATTCAAGTTTTTCTAAAAAGAAATTCTGAAAAACAAAAAAAGCATTCACGTGGTGAGCACAGCTTACGTTTCCTTTACATTTCTTCAGATCTGTTCAATTTTCTCTCTCGACGGACCAATTACGCTTTCAAATACATCTGTGCCTTGAACAATTACACAATGTGGATCGATTGAAAAACAAAATACGACGTGTTTAATTAGAATCAAAATTCCAGTGCCTTACAATATTTTTGTGGACCATAATGTGACGCTAAATGTCCTGCGCGCTCAGGCCACTTTAGCTGAAAGGAAAAAAAGACGGAACGAGATCTGCTTCACCAGTTTGACAGGATGGAGCAAAGGTTATTCCTGACTGATAATCATCTCTCTGAGTCTGTATTTGCCATGCAATTCAAGACAACACAGCAATACCTAACCACTGAATATACCATTTTGGATTCTATTAGTCATTTGGCACCAAAATAAGTGAAATAAAAAGAAAGGTTTGTAAGGAAAAGCACCAAATAGGAAGAATCTTGTAAATGACCTGTAATAGATGTATCATTATGCTCTGCATTGGAATAGTTTAATCTATTTTGCATTATTGTTAGTTGTTGTGTCTTCTTTGTTTTTAACATTATGAAAATGGAGCCAGAAGATTTATGCAATCTTGTACATGTATATGAGTATGATGTATGGAGCTGTTCAAATTAAGTACAAATACTAGTATAAAGTCAAAAGTAAATAATCTGAATGTGGAACCAGTCGTTCCATGTACTTTAGAAAATTTCAGTAGAAATGTTATTTTAACATTGAAGCCCTGAAATATTGAATGTATTGTTCTAAATTAGATATTCAATGAATAGGTCACTGGATATTATGGAGCGCAGTTAATTGATTATTATGTAGCATCTAGTTGTGAACTGCTATTCAATAAAAATTTATTAGAACTAAAACAAATGCAAGTTTTCAAGTTTCTATTTGTCAGCATAACGAGAAAATATAAGGAAAGAAATGTATTTTTCTCAGGGTGAACCAGTGATTTGATAAGAGAATGTGTTAAATCTGAGGAAACTGCATTTCATGGATTTATTTACTTAATGTCAGTGGGTTTAGACATTATTTATAGATTAAAAAAATATGTCCCTTATTTTGTGACAAGCTGTATGGATATGTAGGAAATTCTATACTGATAATTGTAGAACTTATTCTGTTGGTATATTGATATTTTTGTGTTGTGGACACAAAAACAGGTGCAAGTCTTAGAATACTAGATGTTTCTTTTCTACATTGAGGATTGTGTATGGCATATTTACTGTAGTGTATTACTAGTTTGTTAACACTTGTTAAATTGTTACACTACAGTTATGCAATGGTTTACAGAGTTCACAAATTATTTTTATCATCTTGAGAATTAAAATAATTTTTCATCTGAAATGTGTGGATGCTTTTTGTCTCAAACACAACTCACAGGCTAGGATTTGTGCCTGAAAGGGTGCTAAAAGCAGAAAAGGAGGTGGGAAATGTGTATTTGTTACACGACAGCAGCTAGAGTAGTGTTTATTAGATCTAAAAAGAAGTCTTTATTGTTGTTGTTTGAGCAGATATGTTATGAGAATGCAGATGTTGCTTCATCTTTGGAAAATGTGCTTGAACATGTGCACACATTGAAATGTTTATGGCACCGTAGTATCACAGGTCTCAGGAGACAAGGCATCAAATAGGTAGAAAATCAGATGTTTGGCCTGGAGGACAGAACACAGCATGGATAAGAATTAACATAATAACTAATCATACAACTAATCTGAATAGAATGATGACCTTTTGTTCAATAAGCAGCTATGGTTGCTTTATATTGTCAGTAATAAATACTACACAGATAAATTGTACTTTCATTGCGTGCTCTTTTACCTCTTTTTCACTTTCTGGGTAGATCATCAGCTTTCCTAGTTTCTCTAGCTCTGACCTTTCCTTGCAAATGCTTTGGTGACCACGAACGGCATTTGGAGAAAAAGAAAAGTTGTCATGCAACAACAACAACAACAAAACTTGCACCCACATGATACTAGATCTGTCCTTTCTGTACCTTTCAAGAATCAGGCTTAAGTCAGTCACAATTTTTGCCCCTTGAAGAGCCATGATGAGACAAGGGGCCGTGAAAAGATGCTCCATCTTTTGAGGAAGACAGAAAATCAGCAGCTGATTGCACTGCCTGTAAAGCAACTTGTTTCAAAGCCACACTCCTCACCTTCTCTCTTTCACTTGACGACAGCGTGAGTGTCTCTGCGATGTGTCTCTGCTGCTCATATCCCAGTTTGGTCATTCTCCCAGCCACCAGATGGCAGCCTGCCCTCAGCAGCTGCTCCACCACCTCCAGCTGGGAGTGCACTTGGCCGTGTTGTGGCGCATTTAAGGGTATCAGCAGACAGGTTGTCTGCCAGAGGGATCTGTTTATCAGGGACACTGGTTCCCAATAAACAAGCAAAACAGGACATTTGTATTGTGTACAGTTTACAAAGGTCACCTGGAACCCAGTCGTATTTCAACATCCTTTTTGGAAGAGCTCCTGCCAAAACCCAATAAATGATTAAATCATTGTAAAGGCGCCTGTGTTGGTTGAAAAAATACTTCAGTGCTGTGACAATTCTCAGGAAGATGTGCATTCCCATAAGTATGAGTACACTCTCAACTGTGCTTTTACAAACAACAACAAAAAAAAAGATCTATACGTAAAATACTACATAAATAAAACAAATCCAGACCTTCAGACGCTGACTGACTTTCCTGGGCCACATGGGTCAGTATGCATCTCTGTTCTCTCTCCACAGAGGCTAAAGAGTCTGAACACAAGCTGAGTATCTGCAAAAAGAAACTCTTTTATCAGTTGAGATTACAACCCAAGTTCCCAAAATAGTGCAGCTTTGAAGTCTTGTCACTCGCAGTCCTGTGTCTAACATGCGTACCTGCTCCTGTCTCATCATGCTGGTGTCGGTGCAGCAGAGCCCCTCTGGGAAAAGACTCTTAACATCCTTAAGTGCTTGTTGATATGATCTCGATCCTGTAACAGCGGATGACATTTCAAACGTGAGGCAGCATGCGTGGCTCTGCTGTTCTTGAATGTGCATCAGTATGCAGCTGAGCGGTCTGATCGCAGATGCTGTAACTAGGTCGTACCGTAGCAGGTCATCCATGTGGATGAGTCCTCCCGGCCCAGCACGTCCAGCAGCCTTTTCACAGCGTTCTCCCCTTGGAGGCAAAGAGCCACTGAAGGGCCTGAGCACAGGTGCTGCACATGTTCTGAAGGCGGTAGAGAGGTAGCATCACTTTTGTCTGGGTTCACTACCCGCAGGCCCACCAACATGAGGCCGCTCTGCTGGACTATTTTAGCCAGCGAGTGATTCCAAACTCTCGGTTTGAACAGACCCACAGTGAGCAGCATCTGTCGATCTGAAACAAAAGTTAGCTTCTCTAATGTATCCCTGACAACACAAGTGTTTCACTAATATCCCTCAAGAGATTTGATTACACATTTTTTACCATCGCAAAAAAAAACTCACCAGGAGTCATTTCATGCTCGAAGAAGAAGAGAGAGGCCTGTCTGAGGGCCACTTCAGGTGTGGGTGACATCAAGACACTTGGGTTGTGAGAGCAGTTGTGCGGAAGCAGTTTCCTCAGTGTAGCAAACGCATCGAACCTCCTGAGAGCGCACACGAGAGCAGCAGATGACGTCAGAGCGTCCACGCTGTTGTGGTACGACGGCTCTCCCACCTCATAAGGACTCAGCTCCTGGG